ACTAAATTATCCAGTGACGCTGGCACAGGGTATGTAGTGAAACGACCTAAATTCATTGACATTGGTATCTGCATTTCTCTACACCCTGACACTATGTTTTCACGGCGCTAATGCATTATCATGCCCGTGTCATTATGCTTGTAACTAAATAAAATTAAATCAGCTTTTTATTCCATGGTACACTAACGCAATGTCTCTCACGTCTCTTCATGGCTGCGTGACCTTTCAAATTTAAGTTTGACAGTATCTCTAATTATAAGCGACTTTAGCATAGCATTTATGATCTTATGGCTTCTATCTAAGCTAAACTAAGCCGTATCGTGTGAAGTTTGCTCTTTGTCATAACGTGGGAGTTATGGTTTATTTATCGCTTATCCAGAATCGACTGCGCTTTACGCATTCGATGCTAATCGATTTCCTTATTGATCAACTCCCCCTCGTCTTTTAATGGAGTTAGACACGCTTGCTATTGTTTTGTACATATAGAATATAATTATGTATACGTGCAATACTATTTATAGAACTCTAAGTTCAGAGTAATTGGAGTTTTACGAAAAAAAAGCGATTAATCTTCTCGACCTCGGTGGCCCAACGGTTTGCAACAGTGCCTGTGAGGGGCGCTTGGTGAGGAGGTCCCGGGTTCGATTCCCGTTAGGATCATTGATTATTCTGCTCTGCGTGTACTGGGTAGTGCCGCAGAGTGATTTTGTTGCTGTGGTACTAACTAGTACATGGACTTCCCTAGTTTGAGACCAAGTATGGTGTGATCGTCGTTTTCGTCGCACATTATCATTTTTATATGAAAAACTTAAAATTCCAATACCTTTATAATGTCTTCATCGACTTCCACGATGATCAAAAAGCAAATCTAATTATATAACGTGGTAAAATGATATTATATATTGTTACATATTTTTAAACAAATATTTTTGAAGTCCAAAAAGATGTTTTTAAAATCGCATCACTTACTGCGCAGCGCTCTCGCATCGCTGTCAAATCGCCTGTGTGATAAGGCTCTAACTTAAAGCGATCTGAAGCTTGGCCTTAAAACAGTTCTGTATGTGCATGTCACAATATTAGCACTTACTTAAAAGAAATAAGGTATACGTATAGCTGGGTTCAAGTACCTAATGTTCGCTCAGAATAATAAAAAAATTAAGAAATTCAACGTTTGTGTCATAAAGGCTAGAGGGAATTTGCGTTGTGTTTTGACAAATGCGTATCATTCGTCACATCGTCGCTTAACATCGGGTGACATTGTGGCGAAGCGTGTGTCTATTTTACATTAAAAAGATATCAGTATCCATCTAGAAATACTGAAAGTCTAAAATCAAATAATCATTATTTCATAGTTAAAGCAAATTACACTTGAAATCGTGATATTGATTGAAATTTTAACTATACTGAAAATAATATTGAAAATTTAACTGCCTCTGTGGCCGAACGGTTCCCGGTTCGATTCCCGGGCCGGGAGAAATATTTATATGGCCTACATTTGTTTCTCTCGTTAGTCTGGGTGTATTTTGTGGTTGTCTATGTGTGTCCATGGCAACCGCGACACAGGGTTTCCCTAGTGCGGGGCTATGTTGAGTGCGTGTTATTAAAAAAAAATCTGTTGCTCTTTTATAAAGCAGATTCTTCTGAGAAGAATGATCAAGAAATTCTAGGGATTGCTCTTTGTAAATAAATATTTGTACACAAATTATCATTTACAATATTTATTTCAAATATATTAAGATCAAGACTACAAAAGCTAAACGGGACACTACTACGGATTTTTATCATCCAAGTACTCAGAAGTTAAACAAAAGCTTTAGTATAAAGTTTTTGTTTAACAATAGTTTTATCAACCGGAATCTATTATAGAAGCGTATACTTTGCCCCTTAAATGAATTTGTGACTTTGTGAAGATGTCCGTCAAGAACAGCTACTTTATTTTTATTCCTCATATTAATGTTATCGCTATTTTTCATAACAAAATTACTGTTCGTCATAACAAAAATTACATTTTCATGAATGTACTGCGACGCTAGTGTAATTACTTTAAACTTATGCCAACTATTGTTTGTCCCTAATCTAGTGTTACAAAAGTGTAATATGACCTTATATTATGAAAAGAGAAAGTTAAAGACTGTCGTGTCACATATTAAAGACGCATTATTACCACATACAATAAAAAAGATACATGAATTCTGCATTGTAGTGAGTGATCTGACACTACGTGTAAATTAATTATTTTTTGTTTTAATAAAGTAAGGTAAATAAGTTTGTCATACTGCCATATGGGTACAAAAAATACATGTTTTCGTATCCAATGAATATTTTTTAATTATGTTATTTAAGTATACAGAAAAATGAATCGAACGATTTATTTATATTTTTGTTGAAACTGTTTCTTTTATTGAATTTAATTAATGAATGTGTTAAGCTCGTGTTTCACTAATAATGTTTTTTTGTCGAATCGTCATCAACCCGTTTATACTGTACACTGCTGGGCACGGGTCTCATCTCAGGCGAGGGTTTTAGGCCATGCGAGTTGGAGACTTCTTTTTCGACGCGTTTTTCGAAGGTTGTGAACTTTCTTTGACGTGCAGGTTTCATCACTGTGTTTTCCTTCACCGAAAAGGTCGAATTAAAATAATAAAAAAAAAAAAATTTGCCGAATTTTTTTTTCATATCAAATATCATAGTCTTTATTTCTGATGACAAAACTACTACATTTTGTATTTGTATCAATTTAATTTTTGTGTTTTTATTTGTAGTCTGAATAGTTAATGAATTTTGTTATACTGTGCTCGGAAAAATCTTTAGCTTGAACGACATATTTTTTTATAATAGGAAATGAAGGGTCGAGCGAGTTATGTGCATGGTTGTAAGCAACACGCCTGTCCGTAATACTTGCAGTACGGCTCAGAGCTTTAAATCGCCAAGATCTAAGGGGCACTGCCACTGCGCCCCTCACCCTGAGACATAAGTTGAAAAGCCCCATGTGCTTGTAATTTCACCAGCACCCCTGCCCTTCAAAACCGGAACGCAGTAATGCTCACATTACTGCTTGGCGGCAGAAATAGGTAAGGTGGTAGTACTACCCTGGACGAAATCTTTTAGGAACTCTAGGGTTATTAAAAGCTACTAAAACTTTACTCTTTTTTTGTAATAAAAGCCTTTACTCCAATTGTAAACTAAATAGTAAACTCTTTTATTACCTTATTTAAGTGCATTTTTAAATATCGAAATATTACTTTATTCAATAAATAAAATTATTTGATTGATCGGTCACGGCAAACTAAAAGAGCCCATACGAATAACTTTCCGACATCAATGATACTCGGACAGACTGACACGACAACCAGCGATGTCCACTTCGGACTCCGAAATGCTAAAAATGGCATCAATAATTTATACGCGGCGTAGTCGTGATGCGTTTTTGTCCCCGCCGACCTGTCCACTGATGCATTTATAATATAAGGGTGGTTTTTGCACCGTTGCCCGGCCGCGGTGGAATGTAACCGCTAAAATTGACCGAGCTCCAAACGTGAGCTGCAACGTAATGTAAAGTCCTAGAATAGATTACGCAGTGAAACTTGTTTGATGGATCCAATCGTGAACGAAAGAGGGCGTTTGTCTTTATTAGTCATTTCGTACGTGGCGACACCAGTCGGCGTAACTACACTTTTGGCATAAATGAGTTATTTACATGGGACATACATTTTTTCGTGGTAAATAGTTGATTACATTGTCTGAAAGTTTCAAATATATCCTCCATTCAAAATTTTAATAAAAGCATTAATATAGGAAAATATTTCTACCATCCTTATCATAACTAACGTAATAGACAGTTTTAGCGAAATTTCGTGGTTAAATTAAATGAAAAACTAAGTGCAATGAAATTTATTTAAAAACTTAAATTAATTACGTAATTCTGTCAATCCGCAACGTAGGCTTCGTCAGGAAGACACAAATATAAGTCAACAACAGGCTTCGTCGCATAAAAATTAATAATGCAATTTTTATCCAAACTAATACAATGAAAATGGACCACTCTAAATCTTAGCTGGTTCAAACGTCTGGCAGCATTGAATGAATGACCAACCCGACCCGTGCCCAGGAGTGGGACGTATAAATGGGTTGATGATGATGATGTTTGAAATACGTATAGACTTACTGTTCTTACCTTAAGCACGGCAGAAATATTGCAGTAAGTTTAAACTTGTCGTGTTCCGATACAAGAAGATTCAAAACCGGAAGCACAAGCAGCTCTACTGCTACTCTGCGCTCCGCTAACAAAAACTAAAGCGGCTAAATGACAAAATAATCTTTTGAGATATCATACGAAACCATAACCCAGTTTTAGAATGTTGAAATTGTTTAAGGATATTTCAGCTTTGCATCGTTAGGGTAAGTTCCGATATGTCTAACACGTTAACTAATTTGACTGTTTTTAAAAGTGAATTTTGTGGTCTGACTTTTACTATTTATAAAGGATATTTGACCATTTGTCACGCGTTTTAGTTAGTGGACGGCAGTACTAAACTGCAGGACAGCCAAGGCGCAAAACAGACTTTCATTTATAAACACAACATATAATCGTTGCACACTTAAGATTAACATAAAGTATTTTCGTTTAGGTATATGCACTATTTCCGTCAAAATCTTTGTAGATGAAAGGTAGTTTCTCGCTCTTCGAAAATATGTGGTTTTCGTCTTTTCCTCCATATACATAGTAAGTAATCACAAATAACCTGTAATTTCATCATACTTCGGAGAAATCAATTAAAAGTTCTTTACGGGGAAATACAGGAAATTGCTTTTGAAACACTAATGTATTTTGTCGTTTCCGCGTATTAGCAACCTTCCAAGTTTTCTCGAACCAAAAGAGCAAAGTTTTCGAAATTTCTTCGTCTTTAGAATTACACATAAAATTGCCAATTTTTTTAAGGCTTGCCCGATAATTTGGCAATATGTATTGTTGTTTACAAAAATTTTACCTTCTGTTTCAGTAAGCAAGCCGTATTCGACGGGAAGCGGGCGATACGGGGAGGGATACCTTTTGTCTTTCGTAAGTATTACTGTTCTTTCTTTTGAAGCAGGTAAACAACGTGATGACATAATCATAAATGTACTTTTATACTCGCAATTTCTAATATCATATTAGGCGTTTGGAAAGAAATATCAGTCTAAGAAAATACGTCTGAGTGCGAGCGCGCGCTTCAATTTCAAATAAAAAAAAATATTATTAATAATAATATGTAGTTATCCTATATTAGCATTATTTAAGTGGTAATAAATAATACTTAGCCTATATATATTAAAGTCCTACTGTTGCTCACTAAAGCTTTGTAGATGTGTGCAGGTTTTTTCGCAATGTTTCAACCGAAAAGCTCATAGTAAATTTCGAGTTGAATTTTACACATAAATTACAAAAAATTGAGGTTCACGACCTCTGCGTGAGAGGCGGTAGATCAAACCATTCTACCTACCACGGCTTGTATTGTTGTAATGAAAGCCGTATATTATATTCTAATACAATATTATACTCTACAATACAATATAGGAGTAGGTATTATTATAATACAATGTTGATGACAGGGTCAAGTGCACGTCATGGTTGACACTTATGATTTAAAATCAACTCTATGCAGCTTGCGATACAAACTGCCCTAAGTATTGTTAAGTTTTACTTTGCAATAAAACAAATGACGGATTGAATTTGAAATAAAACAGAAAGAACGAGGAATTAAAAAAGAAAAGAAAAGCGAGTGTGAATATTCCATGCTCGAAATGAACTAGAAAATTAAAAAAAAGAGACGGAAATCAAGTGAGAATATTTCAGCACCCTGAATTATTAATCCTGATTTGAAGTAGGGACCGAAAAAACTGTCGCGTATTTCTTTCTACTCGTGAGTTTTACCAAAACTGCAATTATACAAACTTTTTGTTAGATAATTAAGTAGGATATTTGGTGAAATTACAATAGGTTATCACCGTAACAGTATGTTAAAATCGTCGTAATATTTTACCTAATAAATATTTGCTAAAATAAAATATTATTTATTACCACACATTTACAGTACAGAATACAATTTTCTATACATATACCCTGTTAAGGGAGTACTAAAGACTTAAAAATGGGAAACAAGCAACGTAATAAACAAAAATAAATAGGTACACACATTGAAAACAAAATTATTAAATATATAAAAATGTTAATAAAATAAATTAGTTTAAAGAATTTAATGAATTAATTACACAATTATTCATACTAAACACTTAAAAAAATAATACAACTAAATTATATAGTTCTTTTAAATAATTAAAATGTTAACGAGTTCTTAGGTTTTTTTTTGCGATTGTTACACATAGGAAATTTTTCTGGATTTAAATCTCGTATATATATTTGTTTTTTCAAACAAGCCGACGTTTTGGGACCTGTTTTAAAGGGCCCGAAACGTCGGTTTGTTTGAAAACCTAAGAACTTGTTATTTTTACGGATTTAAATTAAAAAAAATAAAATTAAAATGTTAATCAAATAAATTAGTGTTAAAAAAAGTAAAAAAAAAATACTAATGTAGGAACTAATTTAGGGAGGTCATATTTCTTTATCATTTAAAAATTCTTTTATTCTGTAATGGCACATTTGTGTTAAGATGGAACCTTCCATTATTGATAAAAAAAAAATATCACCACTTGCACTAAACTTATGTACGTCATTGAGCAATGCTTTAATTATAAATAAAGGGTGGGTTTTTCATTGCAAGCATTGGTTTAAGACGTACTTAAGTTTCGTGCAAGTGGACATTAATATCATATTCTATTTCACTATACATGTATATTGCAGGCGATTGTGCTCTAGAATGATTCTCACATTTTCAGCTCAATTTGGACAATGGGCATTCGGACCTCAGCACGGGTTCGCGCGGATAGCGCGCTGGCACGTGGAGAAAATGCCGGAGCGGTTGCCGAGCGGAGACGTGGAGGCCGTTTTCAGCCTCATGGACGACGACTTCACGCGCTCCATGTGGCATTTCCAGTGAGTTATTATGGCAATCGCTCGTTTTAAACAAATACACTATATTTTGCTTTTATTAAAAATCATGTTGTTTTTCCTACCATGATATTCATCTACTTTTTGTGAAAATACTTCACTAGTTAAAATTCCTTCGATCTAACTGAACATAAACCAGAGATTGATGCCTGAATTGGCTACCAACGGGGCCTAGTCAAATTTACTAGTTTAAAAATTCGGTCGATAGCCGAATATCCAACTTCCTAATAGGCACTGTTCGTGGTCGTCGTCACGATAATTCAATAATGTAATGAATAATTGAATCGGTACTAATATTTTTGTATTGACCTAATAGAATCGATTTTACTAGAGTTCATTTCCGAACGAGCTGCTGAATTTAAAAAATAAATAGTTGGACATACTTGGGCTTGCAGATTTATAATGATAATGAATTTATAAAGGCACTTTTGGAAATGTTGGAAAATAAAGTGTTTGTACATTGTTCATCGTGTTATTTGGATAAAATGTTACTGTTCCTTTGAAAATCATGATCCTATTGACAACCAGCGTCCGGCAGTGCCAAAACTGTTTAGTTGGGCAGTCGTGCCCTCGTAGGACGGTCCGTATCGCACCCGGATATAACCAAAACCCTGGCGCTCTCTAGTAGATACGCGTCCAAAATTGAATACTTACAGTTATATTTTTCCAAGTGACCGGAAATTTGGGTGCAATTATAAATGACGTTGGGAAGCTGTAGCACGTTTATTTCGCTCGCGTCGCGAGGTACGCAGGCTCTTTAGTCGCGAGTGACGATCGGCGCCTCCTAATCACAGAGTACTTAATAGTTACTACGTAACAGATACATACACTCTCATACAAAATCGAAAATACCTACGCTATAATAGTCTACTAAATCTGACTAATGACACCAGGCACTCACTACGAAGAAAAGGGAAGCTAAACACGCGCTCAAAGAGATTAAAACAACGTTGCCCGCCGTGAGCAGTCGTGCGGAGCCGAATACTCATAAATGAACGACATGTATGAGGCACTTATCGCGTAACCTTAAGCGAGAGACGGAGCCCTGCCCTAATACCCTGCACATATGTGCGCACCACACCCTGCACCATAGATAGCCCGGCACTGCACCGGGCGCATGTTTCATAATCTCAAACTTCTCTATCTCCAGATTCAGACTGACATATAGGCTGATCCTGCGAGAGAAGGAGTTGCATTTCAACATCGGCGTGTACAATCCGAGCAAAGAGCTCACGTTCAGCTGCCAAATGCTACTGCACACCTACTTCAAAGTGCCTGATGTGCGCCGCTGCCAGATCACCGGCATGCACGGATGCATGTTCATCGACAAGGTGGGCTGACGTGTATAGATACACCCAACACACGCAAACATTAACATGTGTTCTGCCCTCGGAACGAAATAATTCACAACTATCATTTTAATCTAAATTTAGTTATATTACATATTCGGGATTCGAATACTTATATTAAACATTTAGCAACTTTTACACATTTATTATTAACAATATTTACATGGAAATCTGCGTTATGAATGAATTTTGTTTTTTTAATTATAATGTACACACTCAACATAGCCATGACCCCCACAATAGGGATACCCTGAGTCGCGGGCGCCATGACACACACATAGACAATCACAAATTACACCCAAACTTACGAGAGAAATAAATGTAGGCCATACAAATATTTCTCCCGGGACCTCTGCGTGGCAGGCTGACATGGTAACCGTTCCGCCACAGAGGCAGTTGTAGTAGTAGGCAGTACTGTGTAGTGATGAATCGTTCGACGATTTCAATTGTACTTTGCTTAACTTAATTGACAACCTCCGTGGTCTATGCACAGCGGTTTTCATGGTGTCGGCATCTCTGAGGTCCCGGGTTCGATCCCCGGCCGGGTCAATGCAGAAACTAACTTTTTTATATTGTTTCGTGTTGGGGTGTTTGTGGTACCGGCGCTGACTCCGATTTTCATAACACAAATACAATAAATGTGAGTAAAATAAATGTGATGTTGTCATTAGACAATTTATTAATTATTAAATTAATAAATGTGAAATAGACGATATACTGATGAATTTGTATCGTGAGTTCATAAGATGAAATCATGATGATGATATTTACAGACGCGGGAAGGCGCGGTGTACCAGGAGACGCGCGAGGTGGTAACGGTCAACGAGTGGACGGACCGCATCTACCAAAATACCATGCAGGAGCACATCATCACCAACGTCGTCAGCGGGCGCAAGATGCGGATACAGAAGTACAATTTCCCTGATACTGGTATGTAAACACAAGATACAAACTCAATGCACACTTGTTCCCTGAACGTAATAACTTGGGTGTTTTCAAGGCGAGAGTGAATAGGCATTATTTAGGTGTGCATGCTCATCGTCGACCTCATTGTCACTTTCTATCAGGTGAGATGGAGGTCAAATGCGCACTTATATTTAATTAAAAAAAACAAACTTTTGAACACTATATAACAAAGGTTCCCTAACTTTTGTGGTGGAACGAGCCAATGTTTTCTGTTTTGTGTAGAATTTTTCAACTTCAAATGTGTGTTTGAAAGCTGACACAGTGCTGATGAACAACTTTATAAAAAACAACAAGTTGAAAGTCGTCAAAACAAAAAACAAAGATAAAACATAGCATCTGGAACGGTTTACTGGAAGACGTTGGTTCGAATCCAGCAGGATCGAAGTATTTTTTTCTAATCTTTGTATTAATAATTATGTTAACGCGTAACGCCATCAAGCGGCAGCGCGATCAAACTCCGACCACGGCGGGATGAGGCGAGTGGCGCGAGGGGAAATCAAGGGTTCATTCGGCAACATATCTTGCTACAATACGCATGGTCATTTTCTTTTTATAATTTTTTAAATAAATACATCTCGGTTAAAAATAATCAAAATAATTCATTGAAGATTCCACTATAATACCCAAAGAAAGGAAAACCTGTCTGGCTGCCTACGGATAAGCATCAACAATTACAATAAACTAGTCGAGTAATTTCTCAAATAATAATTGTATATCATGGTGGTCAAAAATCGTGACGTCCAATAAACGTAAAAACAAGTAAGTTTTATACATTTATCTAACCCGAATATCTTGTTTGTTGTTGTGAAATTAAGTAATTCATAGGTAATTATGTCTATTATAAGAAAGTACCTATTGTGTATTTACATTGGTACTAATCTATGTATTGTGGATTATTCCATTTATGAAAAGTCGAAATTTTCATCACGACTTGTCTAAATCTCGTGGGAATCCTATTTTCTTTTCGGTGATATGGACACCTTATCGGTTGGAGTGAACCCGTCGGGGTCGAAAAGGCTACTTTGGGAATACAAGTAGGAGAATATTATATAAAATCATACAAAGCAACTTTTTTCTAAACACTATTAAAGGCCGTTGAAGTACAATTTCCACTAAAATCTGATCTTTATATAGAATCATTTAATACACCTGAATATTTTCTTTTGTTAGTATAAATGAAGTAAATACGTGGTGGGTTCATTACAGTGATTTGGAACCCTTGGGCGGAGTACGCGAAGGAGATCCCCGACTTCGGCGACGACGAATTCCCCAATATGGTATGCGTGGAGGCGGGCCGCGTCGCCGCACCCATCGTGCTGCTGCCCGGCACCGCCTTCGAGGCCAGCCAGATCCTGCAGGTGGGTTACATTCCTTGTTTGTCGCTAAGATATGAAATATACATGTACGGATCACGTACAAGATTTAGACGCTGAGTTTGCCCTACTTTACGTGAATCGACTGATTCACTTTTTATTATAATTTAGTTGATTTAATAACTCTGTCGCAATCGGTCACATAAGCATCCATATAATAACTTGTATTTAAACAAAAATAAACTTTACGATTGTACGTCAACTCTATAACTTAACTAACTACAAACTACAACTAACTTAACTACCTACAATCAAGACGTCAAAGCCAAAGTACAAAAAAAACCATTTGTTTGACTATCCAAAACAAAAACTTTATTGTGATACATAGATAACCACTAGGCTAGGCCTGTGTCGTGGTTATCAGTACAGAAAGTTTACACATAAGGACTTATTTTTGTATTATTGAATTAAGTTTACGACAAAAAAAGTTAATATATGTATATGTATCTTAAATACGAGGCTCATACAGTTCCTCAATTCAACCCGCAATTTTGTTTAGTTTTCCTCTGTAAATTGAAAACATTTCATCGTTAGGTGAAATGGTGATTTAAATAGCAATACTCAACTCGATAGTCAACAATAATGCTGCTGTTTTTCGCCAAACTTCGGACTGTCTTTCGTCCTAATTTGGGCTGTCTTTCACCCTATTTCGGGCCGTCTTTCACTCTACTTCGGGCCGTATTTCACTCCTTCGGGCCGTATTTCACCCTATTTCGGACCGTCTTTCACACTGCTTCGGGCTGTCCTTCAACCTACTTCGGGCTGTCCTTCAACCTACTTCGGGCTGTCTTTCACTCTACTTTGGGCAGTCTCTTGGCCTACTTTGGCTTGTTCTTCGTCTGACTAGAACCTAACCGCGTGGCACTGAAACAAATTTGAGCAATACTTTTGGAGGCAATCTGCACGACAATCTGCAAGGCAATCTGTACAAGCTATCGAAAGGCAACAACAATCACTATCAAAAAATAAGATTATTGTGATTAAAGATTTTCGAAAATATTAAAATGAAATATAACACCTTGATCTCTATTACATATATATTCGAATAAAATACTCTTTGATTGCAGGTGATGTAAACGACGCAACGATTCGTCCAAACCCGTCCAACGAAGCGTCAATTTTCTAGGAACTTTACAATTTCGAGACAATATACAGTTGGGGGCTTCAGCCACTAGGTAATCTTAAATAATACAAATATCGATCTTAAAACCTCCCCTTTTTCAAGTAGTTAAATTGTTAAGAAACCTACACAACAGCCGATAGGGCTCGGAAGGAATGTAGTGAAAATTATTACACATGTACGACAGTCATTGTAACTTATTGAAATACATCTAAATTCTATCGCCCCTATTTGCTTTTTCTTATACACTTTGTTACTTTGATTGTATAACTGCGCGTGCAATTCCCGGCGTAATTTTCACTACATATGTCCCAAACATAGAAAGTCTGCACTAACAGTGTGTCAATTTAACTACTTTTTGCTTTGGTTTTGTTAAATAAGGGTTGTATGCGAAATAATTCGATTCTCCACTCCAATTGATGCCCTTTAACTATAGCTATCTTCGTCTCTAAAATGTATACGTATTTGCTGAAGTTATTCTGTAAAACGTTTGACGTATTAATAAATAATTTGTGCCAAATGTAGGGATGAATTGTCATTAGACCGATATTCGCTTCAGTTTGAAAAGGTCTTTATATTTCACACAATGTCGCCAAGTGCAAGCATGAGCTCATGAGATTAAATTTGGACAGATATCAGAACATGGATGGAAAGTAAAGTTTGATAATAACTTTATTAATGATGCAGTTAGAATCTTGAAATAAATTTAAGATGTCTTATTAATTACCATCAATCGGCGACCATAAATCAACCAATTGTATGAATAGAATAAAATCGTTTAAAATTATCAATGTCACAATATTACAATTTAAAATACAATGTTACGGGATAATATGGATCACAGAGTCCACAGTGTTGTAGATCTCAGAGTCGACAGAGCTGTGGGTCACAGATTCTACAGAGTAATGGATCACAGAGTCCACAGACTTGCGAATCACAGAGTACAGAGCGTTACGGATCACATAGTCTTCAGAGTTTGTAGATCACAGAGTCCACTGAGTTGTGATTCACAGTCTCTACGATTGGTTGATTTGTAATCGAGGATTGAAGGGTCGGATTAATAGGATTCAAATTTATGTTATAAAGAATTAATCAATTTTTAAATAAATTTACTTTTGCGCAGAAATGAAAGTTTTCAAAATTGGTAACAGCCCGATGTTAATGCCCATGAGTTTATAGTTTTTAATATTATGTACCCGACTCATCAGCCCCCAATGTGTTATCATTCCGTTTGTATTATAATTATTTACTACTTTAACGTGTAAGTAATTGCTTAATTTAACGAAGTGAGACGTCACAATTTAGTAACTAATTCCCTTTTAAGTAATAGGGGATACTATTGCTTGGCTCCGAATTTAACGTCATAATCATACGACGAAAACTCTATTCCAATCCATTATACCAAAATAGTAAACAAACCGGTTTGGTTAAAATAAATAAATAATATTTCAAATATAGATTTGTGAATAGTCTATGGTTGCATAGGGCTGTGCGGAAATAACTCATTCGGTGAATACAATTAAAGTTTTTGTAATCAATAAGTGATGACAATGATTCGAAAATTAATCACAATTGAACGAATATCTAAGTGTAAGGATTTGAAGGAGGATTTAAAATTAGATTTCGGAATATTTAAAGTTGCTTTTATAGATTATGTAAGAAAAACAAGATTAGTCTCATGTATGAAATATCTGTAGCGAAATTGCAAACTCCGTTTTATTATATAAAACCCAGTTATTTCAACTGATTCAATTAAACAAATCGATTCATTCGATTAATTAATCGATTTGTAGTTGGTAGTACAGTTGGCCATCACTAAACTGTCTATGGTCTGGCCAATGATCTGCTTGTTTGCTTTTCTGGTATAATGGATTGGAACAGACTATAACTAATTTGTAGATACTTGTTTTCTTGCCACAAATTGAGTACAGTCTAGCGTGTGTTCATTGGCGTCGTCGCCAAGTTGACGCCGATTTTGTAATGTATTCTACGTCTTTTCTATTTCTATATACTTCCATTTCTGTCTTCCTATGTTGAGCATTTTTACATTGGCCGGTAATGGCACCGGTGTAACGGGTAATTAATTTTTAATACTGTGTCAGCAACCGGATGCATTAAGGCTGTTTTCACATGGACCACTAAAATCCCTACTATACAATCAATGTCTTGATTTAAATGGTCAAAATAACCAAAAATATGTACACATCAAGTAGTGTATATTATGTGCTATTAAGTTCAGAATTCTCAAAATATTTGCTCATTTGACAAAAATCAATCTTATGCAATTAATTTTAATGTCTACATCAGCATGCAGACCTTTTGTATGTTACCAAGTGAAGAGACGAACTGCGCCTTGTGGTAAGCGACACGCCTGTCCATAGCAGTTGCAATGCCACTCAAGAGCATTAAAACGCAAAGACCTGAGGGGCACTGTTACCGCGCCCGTTACTCAGTCGACAAGTGCCTGTAATTTCACCAGATTGAAAGCATTTGGAAAGTGCGCCTTGAACTTATTGTTATAAGTTTGATTTTTGTCAAATATTAATTTTAAAGGTGGCCATATTTATTGCTTATTTTGTCTGTTAAGATCATTTTGACGCTGACTATATGACCAGGGTAACGGTGGGACTGGAATGATGCAGCTGCAATGATGGGACTTTGTCCAGTATGTAATTTTCTATTGAACACGTATGCAAAACTATATTCTTTCACAGAGTCTAACCAATGAATTTAAAGGTTTGGTAGTAACGGCGACAACAATTCGTAATTTACAGAAAATGTGTATAAATTTAACAGTAGTTGGCAAAAACTAAACGACAGAACTGAGTTGTAACTATTATTGTTAATAATTGATTATACAATAGAAAGAAAAACTTAGTCTATATATATTTAACCCTTCACTAAAGAATTGCACTTAATTTGTTTTACCACCAAACTTCGTTTTGTAAAAGTAAAGATTGCCCTGTTACTTATAAATAAACTTCAACTAAGAAGTGCTAGAATGATAATAATCCACGTCCGTTTACGTGAAACGTGGGAAATGACGTAACGGGTTAAAAAAATCTTTGTTATGTCTTTTATGCTATTTGTACCATGTTAACTCAAAGCTCAATACTCAAATACTGTTTTTATGTTATTCATCAAGTAAACAGTTAACATCGGTATTCTTAAAATGCAATTAAATTATAATACTTGTTTTCTTTGGTAACATGTTGAATACTTAACAGGTCCAGGTGGTCCTGATTTAGGTATTTTAAAACTATACAGTCTTTTACTATCTAACATCGACGGTTGAAAAATAACGGGTTAAGCGACATTTTGGAGATTCATCGATATTCAAAAATAAAACCATTAATAATAGCTCGTTTAACCGAATTTGAATCTACAATTTAGAAATAAGTAATACAAACTTTAGTCATCTTCGGTTGAAATACTGTTATACTCACTTTTGTTTTCACCTCTCAATAATAAAGAAACAGTAAGATGCGCTTATACGGAATATGTATAAAGCAGATTTTGGGCATATGTGTCACTTAGCCCCTTTTTAATTTTCAACCGTCTTTATGAATCTCGATGTACAATTTGCATTTCTTAAATACATTCCCAAAACTAACACGTGAATTAGGGTTTTAATCTCGAAATATGTACATAAGTACTCAAGCACAATATTGTACAAATTGATGTGATTTTTTTAAGTACATTTTATTTTGTATTACTTTTTTTTACTTGGAACTTTTTGGAGGCTTTTCAAAGTATACGAGAATTTAATGTAAGTAATGTATGAGTACTTATACTGCGGTCATTGTAAGAGTATCTCTGACAGAAGTGAAAGAAAGAACCAGTGCGAGTTTTGAGGCAAGTAACTCAATTAAGCCGGTTTCAAAAACCCAACGACTTCTAATATGAAGTGGTCCAAGAGGCGAATTGTGGACAAGCGTGTATTTAAAAATATCTTAAACTAAAAAAAAGAACCAATTCTCGATATTTAAATAGGGAAGACCCAACCCGTAATCTTTATTACAGCTAGCATTGTCATTTATTGCATTGTCGAAGTATGGATGTTGACTTTGACAATCTAGAAAACTAGCATTACGCAGCAAATGTTGCAAGAAATCATGTTATATGGATCCTTCACCACTGCTAGCCAACCTGACGCTTTATATAGCATCCGTACTTTTTTAGACCATAGTGGGTCTGTCAGAGGTCATGTTACAATGACAGCAGCTTAGATGTAATGAGTTCCTTTGTTTTAAACGATACGAGCGGTCAGGCATCGTATATCGGCATCAAAGATGTGTTAATGTTATATTTTATCTAATGTACATTCGGTAGATGCTCTCTGTACACGTAAGGCTGATCTCGCTCGAGATTATTGCTGTATGAATGGTTATTGTTATTAATGTCCAACAGTTTGTGAAAGAATCGGTTTGAAATTGAGTTTTCGAAGTCTTATTCGGCTCTTTCATAACTTAAACATTTGAGGAATATTAAATATTTTCTTTTTTAAATTAACTGTTTCTCATCAAAATTGTAACTTAGGTCCGTTCTAGACATAACCAGTTTTTTCAGGTGAGAGTGAATAGGCACTTGGGGCAAGCATTCTGTACACTCGACCTAAGCGTCCTTAACATGAAGTTAATGCTTGCTTAATTTCATAAAAAAAAGTAACATCAAATTTGTTTCGATCCAATTCTAACGCTGTTGATGTAATAAAAAAAGTTAAGAAACAAGAATAAAAACATCTTGTAGTAGTTGCTATTTTTTAGTAAGTCATCACAATTGTGTAGATTGTAACTTAACAAACATTACCACGCCTAACACTGTCTGTCTACCCCATCCCTCTGGGGTAGACAGACAGCAGACCTCCGCTTATTACGTTTCTGACGTACTTTCGCTTTTAATACTAATAATTTGGGATAACTGGAAAACGAGTTAAAACGTAAACAAGTTGTGTAATACAGTAAATTACATATTTTCATTTAAACATTTTGTTATCATTTGGTTACGAACATACCGCAATAACCTCAAGAGATTTCATGCACTTTTATAATTAAGTAGGAAGGGGCAGCGTAGAAGATTTCCGTGTATATGAATTCAGCACGATTCAAGCCAACTGTAATATTCAAAAATTGTGATTTTATAAGAACAGGTTACAAGTTAAATATGGACCGTTTTGCGGAATCATCTTAAGAGCTTATATCGCTCGAATGTATTTCTTTTTACTACTTTACACGAACATTGATGTTAAAATTTGTTACTAGCGCCATTATGGGAAGGGCTCTTGTTAACTGGCCAATCTTCTAATACTTATTAATAAGCCTGTATTGTTCCCTAAACTCTTATTAATCAGTGGTATGTAATAAACCAGTATGGTCACGCAGGATAATAATAAGCAAGGGTAATTGAAAATGCGCCTTAGAAGTCCCAATTAACGCGTCTTATAAAACCTTATTTACTCGCCTTATAAGTCCCGATTTCCACACCTTATAAATACCCGAAGTCCGCACCTTTTAAATTCCGATTTCCGCACCTTATAAAAATCTCGATTTAAGAAGCGTATAAATCGGGATCTTTCAATTACCCTTGGTTGCAATTTACCCTGTATTGTAATAGTAAAATAAAGATGTAAAGTTGGGCTTGAGTTGTAATAAATACGCATAATAAGTAATGAGCTAACGTGAACATGAATTGTTAATGTTAATAATTATCGAGTCGCGATACATCGAACTTTAGCAACGAAGTGTACTTCCATAGGTGCAATAAAGTAATAAGGAATCTAATGAAGGGTTTTATTTTCTTGTTCATAAGTTTGTTATATTTATAACTTCGTGGAATCTACCCATGATACTAAACAACTTTCGTGAAATTCAATTAGCATAATGAAGTATGAGCTTCTCGTGAGAAGTGTTGGGTCATTAAAAAGTATCTATTTTGAAAAAATATTTTTGAAAAAAAAAAATAATTAAATATTCCAATTTTCCTCCAACTTTTTCGCTATTTTATTAAAATTTATGTAAATAATGAGTCTCATCACGTCTCGACGCGAAATCGACTTCTTACACACACTTGTCGTTGCATTGAGTCGATTCACCGTAGACTTCCATCCTCTACGGGCGCCTTCCCACTATGTCCTCACGTTTTATTATCGTTGGACGACTGTCGTGTCTAGCCTGTTCCCATATCACGACTATCTGTCGTGGACGATTTTTTATCGTAGAACGACTGCCGTGACTCGCTGTTCCCACTAGATCGTGACGACAATTTATCGTTTCATGACAGCCTCCTTGCCCATCTCTGGCTACGACAGTTTGTCGTTGTAACGATAAAAAATCGTGAACGACAGTTAATCGTGTCGTGCTATATGTAAACAACTTCATTTAAATATACAAGCCACGACACTGTAAACTGCACGACAATCTGTCGTCACGACATAGTGGGAGCGCGCCATTGACTTTTATTGTAAGTCAATGGAGCGCGCCCTAAGCCGTAGACGCAGCCGTTCGGGCGTCATCGTCTGCGCTGTTCATTCTTCAAATATGGCCTTCTAACCTCAGCCATCGTCGGCTGCGTACAAACGCGTTCAGAAATTATTAGAAAGATATATGAACGCGATTGGAAATGAGATTGAAGCAGATTCGCAGACGCAAAACCTATTTTCTGATCGGTTTAATGCGATTCCTTGTAAATAAGTGTATTGGTCCTCAACATTATTTACGAACGCAATCGGTTGATCGAACAATATGTAGTAGTTGAGTCACCCGATGAACGTAATTGTTTAAATACCCTGTGTGTGAACGGACTTATTTCCATTACTCCACGAGTACGAGAACGATATAAACAGTATGTTTTTATTTCGTTTTCGGTATACTAATGAGTATAGAGATGTAAATATGAAAATAATAACATCGTTTAGATTTATCTATTTATTTAAATAGATCGCTCTAAACAGTAACAACCCTTTGCTGCACGGGGGTGGGAGCAGGCGCAAAGGACGCTTGCACGTTTGAATTTACTACCAAATACAGGTCTAGAAAGTGCCTAAGTAGTATTTATACTACTTTTACTTCAATTATGTGCACGCGCATTCCGCGGAAGATTTTGGCTCGTTTCTAGTTTGTATGTTACACAATTAATTATAATGTTTATTATGTTATGTTACAAAAATTCGCTTCCACCCCGTTCTCCGCCGCAATATAAATTGAGCCTAATTGCGTTTGTTTTTGTAAATAAAACAGCCAGTAATAACATATAATAACTAATTTTACTTTGAATTAAAAACTAATATACCTATGTAGAAGCATCACTACTCGCACTAGTGAGTTTTGGATCCCAGGCTCCTACTTCCACAAGGATGTCTTTCTTAGCTTCAAAGTATTCTTTATACCACATAATGTGGTCCTTTTTTTCCTTTACTGTATAAAACGGATTCTTGGAAAGCCCTACGCAGACCAACTCCATGAAATGTCGGATAGGACCCTTCTTGGGGCACCAGCTTTCAAGATGAGAGTCAAGAAATATGTGTTCAGAGAAGTGGATGTTGTTTTCTTCTTCCATACCTGCGAAAAACAGTATTTATGATCACAAGTTGAAATCTTAAAGGGTCTTAGGAAATTAAACAATTTTTTTTTTTCAAACAAATCCATATACAAATACACGCGATTTTCCTACATCCGAAAAAATATTTTAATTTCCTATTTGTGTAACACTCGCGAAAACCTACGAACGTAGAGTTAAAGGGTCATTTTAGCATTTTTAGGTTACGAGTCTATGGTCGTAAACTTGAAGCAAAAAATAAAAGACACCCACGAAAATTCTGAAATTTTTTTTGATAGTTTGTTTTCAAACAATTTTATACTTCCAAATGGGGTTCTATATTCACTGTACAAGACAGCCGTGTGAATTGTGTAATACACAGTTTAATTATAACGTAGTGATTACATTCTCTTTGAGTTTAATGTTGTCAATTTAAGGTACTCACCTTGTTCATTATCAATAGGAAACTTCCAAACTTTTCCCTGTTCTGTCCAAAGAACCATCTTCTGGAAATAGTTGGTCGGAGGTTGGGCGGTGGCCAGCGAGAGCTCGCGCTGTTTCAAGCCCTCCCACATATCCAACTTGGTGCCGTATTTGGGTTCTCCACCCTTAAATATGCCGAGAGGTGTGCCGCTGTTTATGTCTATCGATTTTGGTGTTTGAAAACTGTCAACGTGAATAATGTTTTCTATGTTAAATTTGAAATTTTCAAAGTATGTCCTAAAGAAGGAATTTTGAAGGATATAGAAGACCTATATTTAATTTTCGTCGTTTCTAAATACACTAGAGTACTACATGATTTTCAGACAAGACTAGAGACAGTAAAGCATAATAAGCAGAAATCGGAATAGTTATATTATATATATAGTTATATAATAAACATACAATAACATAAAATAAATAATAAATTTAGAATAAATGTTTTGTAATTGTGAATAATAATTGAACTACTCTTACTTCGTTTTTTGCCTTTTATTTTTAACTATCCCAGGATGTCGAAAGGAGGTATTGTCAAATTTATTCATTATTAAGATAGTATATGTGTATTACTTGAAATTTACGTAAATATATTCTGCCTATACCAATCTTCGAAAGAATAATATAATAATAATAATGTCTTATTCATTTGGATATGTTTAGTTTCTTAACCCCGCTAAGCGAGGCTGGTTATAATTTCGCTGTATGCTGATAACCAGCTACGTCGCAGATTCTTTTTCCATATACCACTTCCAATGCTTGTAAAGTTTGTCATAAAGCTTCGTGTATACGCTGACATATTTTTACATTTTAAAACTCTTATTTAGACCTGGAAAATTGTATCAGAAAGAAAGAACAACTTAATTTTTGGTAATTTTCTGTTTTTAATGTAAACAGCCTATTTCTTTGCTAATATTATGCCCCCTGA